ACTTGGCAATCTAAAGTCCCACTACAGAGCAGGACAAGAAGTGTCTGAACAGAAAATGTACCTCTTGAAGCTAAAACTCATTACTGTGGACTACTAAGCCTCAAAATAGCAATCAATTTTACAATCAAAATTCAGTTTGTAAGTGAATTTCAAGGCACTGATTCTATAATAGGAAATCTTAACGAGTACAGATAAATTTTTATAAACATTACTTTTAGTCATATATTTTCCCAAAGGAAGAAATTGCAAACGTAGCTAAAATTTTTATCTTCATCTTGAAATAAAAATCTTGGATTAGTTCAAAACTGAGTTGTTCACCATTAACTATTTTTACTGCTTCTTTTATATCCTAAATATAAACATTTATTGAAAAAAAAACAAACAAACCCAAACCTCATTTCACTGCTACGTAAAACAGAACAGTCCAGTTCTCAACATATTCTGTTAAAATAAATATGTTTTATGAATTAAATTAGCCTAAATATAATATCTAGGCAGAAAAATTGCACTGCAATGAATGCAGCTGTAAATAAACTTGTGCTGAGATTAGAGAAGAGGTTAGGGAAGAGAAAACACAAGATGGGCTTGGTTAGATTATCTTAATGAGAAGATATGAATGGCTTCATTGTTGTGGCTGGATTTTTAAGTATAAAGGTATTTGAATTGAGCATTTTACACTGGCATTTGTGTACTTAATTTGTTGAGCAGCATTTGAAAACCAAGGGGAATTATGGGACAAGAATTCTGACTAATTCCTACAAGACAGATACCACAAAGGTTTGATGGTATCACCATCAGTAAGGGAAACAAAATAGGTTCAGGACAGGTGGCTTTCATGCTCCACAGATATGCTCAAAGATAAAAGAAGATATTCTGCTTTTAAATGTATTACATTTTAAAAGGCACCAAGAACTAATGAAATATCAGCACCAAAACTTCTCAAGTAATGCCATCTAAGAGTACATTAAGAATGGAAACATACAATACTAAATAAAGAGTTCTGCTAAAAAGAGCAAAAGGTAAAGTTTGTTCTAAGCTGCTAGATATGCTGATAGATACTGTCAATTCTTTTATCAGTGCTGCCAATTCCAAGTTGAGAACATTCTATTTTTAGCCTGGTCTGATAGAAAACAAAATTTAAATTGTTCTTGTTTTTATCTTTTTCCCAAAATGAGGCAAGAAGTGAGAGAAGATGAGGTCTGAAAACAAAATACAAGACTTTTGCTGCCTTGATAGAGGTCTTTGCATGCAGTTCTGGGAAGATTTTTAAATGCATGTGCTTTAAGTGGTGGAAAAAAGAAAACAGCTCCCCTGAATTCTCTAAAGGCAAGAAAAATGAACTGCAGGCTGGTCACACACCTTAATCACTGGGAGGATGTTCAAGCAAATACATTTCCAAATGCATTCAAAGCAGAAAAGTGACTGGGATTATTCAGCATGGCACTATGGAAGGGAAATGATGCCTGACCAGCCCAAGAGCCTTCTGTGACCAAGTGACTAGAATGGTGGATGAGGGGAGAGCACTGGCTGTCATTCATCTTCACTTCAGGCAAGCTTTCCACACTGTATCCCATAAGACCCTTGTAGGTGTTGCATTGTGTCATGGCTTTATGGTTTTTCATTGGCATTCCACATCATAACATCCTGCAGTGCACTGGGAGTTAAGGAGTTAATGCTGCAGTTCCATTAATTCTCATATTTCCAGTCTCTTGGTCTCAGAAGAGAAGAATGAACCACAACTCCCAGAAGACTTCATTTTTCCATTTCTGTTCTCCATTCAGAGGGAAAGATAAAATGGACTGGAAGATGGGAGACTTTCCTCTTTGCTCCCTCGCCGTTTTGCCTACAGCATTAGAGTAAGGACTTCAGTTTCAGAAACTCCTTCATTTTCTTTGATTCATTAGCTTTGATTCCAATCATGTTGTATTATATTATATTATCTCACATTCCACTACTGTATTTAGTAAACTAAGATTCTCCCTTAGCTCGCTGCCACTGATTTCCTTTTCTAGGCCCATCTCTCTCTCTGCCTTTTCCCTTCCTCCCCCCCCCCACTTTCTGGGGTGTGGATCTGTGGGTCCCTTCTCCCCCATGTTACAGAACAAGGCCGAACAAGGCTGAACCGTCACAGCAAACCGATGAATTATGGACTAGAAAAATGAGCAGTGAAGTGGAATGAAAGCTGGCTGAACTGTTAAGCCTGGAGTGTTGTGATCAGGACCCAAAGATCACTTGGAGGCCCATCACTAGCAATGTACCCAAGGACCAGTACTGTAACCAATACTGTTTAACACTGCCTTAGTGACCTGGATGCTGGGAGAGAGTGCAGTCTCTGGGGCTGTGCAGACAACACAAGCCTGGAGGGATACCAGATGGCTGTGTGGCTGCTCAGAGGGGAAACAGGGAAATAGGAATCTCAAGAAGTTCAACAAAAGGGAAGTGCAAAGTTCTGCACCATGGAATGAAAGATCCTGTGCACTAGTTTGGGCTTGGACTGGCTGGATAGCAGCTTTGCAGAAACAGTTCAGGTCCTGGTGAACACTGAACATCAGCCAGCAGTGAGCTACTACAGCAGGGAAGGCCAACAGCCTCCTGGGCTGCGTTGGGATGAGTGGCACCAGCAGGTCAGGGTGTGACCTTTCCCCACCACTCAGTGCAGGTGAGATGACATCTGTAGTGCTGGGTCCAGTCATGGTCTCCCCAGGACATTCTGGAGAAAAGGTAGAGAGGTGGCTAACAGCTTGGAGCATAGGAAAGACTGAAAGAGCTGGGACTGTTCAGTCTGGAGAACAGCTCAGGGGGATCTTATCCACATGCATAGGTACCTGATGGACATGACTAATCAACACAGAGACAGTGGTACCCAGGAAAGGACAAGGATCAACAGACATGGCATGGAACACAGGAAATTAATTCCACTTAAATACAACTGGAAGAAAAAGCTTTCCTGTGAAATTGGTCTGACATTGGTACGGGTTGCCCAGAAAGGCTGTGGAGTCTCCATCCTTGCAGATATTTTAAACCTGACAGTCATGGGCCTGGACACTCTGCTCTGGGGTGTTGGACCAGAAGATCCCTGCCAGCCTCAGCAGTTCTGTGCTTCTCTTTTGAAACATGAAGTAAAATAAGAGAGATCTTCCCTCCAAAAAGGCATGGGCAGTGACTGCAGCAAACATTATCTGTTCTATAAAGAAGAGACATGGAATCTTATGAGTAATAATGTGACTATCCTCGCCTTTTTGCAGAGTGACTGATGATTAAGACATGGTCTGGGCCATTAAATTTAAAACTGTTAATGACCTGGCAGTTCTGAAGTTTCAGGGAGTTCTACTCCAATCAGTGCTTTGCATATCTCCAGTGTTAGACAGTCACTCAATTTTCATTTGCCACTAGAATGACTGAAATTACAGTGAAAGGCATATGTAAATCTGAGAGCAAATTGTACATCTCTTAGTGAAAAAAACGTAATTTAGAGTAATCAGTTCCATGTTTTTTCCATATTTTTATGAAACTGCTCCTTACCGGCTACATGACTGGTGCTGTTTTCAGCCGTGCACTGGGAACACAGGGAAGAGCTGGTGATGGTGGTACCCACAAAAATTGCCCTTAGCAATTCCTGCTCTAAGGAATGTGATCAAAGATGATCAATACATCAATTTTCATACTTTTCCCTGACTGCCCTTTTGCATTTTGGTACTATTACTGGTTTATATCAAGGATACAAATCAACCAGATATGACAAAACTGAGCTATTTTATATGACTGCTTCCCTTAGCACCCAGACTTCCGTGATGGTTGTGTGTCTGTCAGCAGGGCTGTATCCAGCACTACACTGCATTCCTCTGGTAAAACCCAGGCTCCTGATGCTTAACACTGACATCTAGCTGATAGTGGCCCACAGCAGGAGTAGTTTCATCTGAAAGGTAATTCTCCCAGGGGATAGCTGCCTGATTTAAAGAGCCTGTCCCAAATCTGGAGAGATAACGCATGGATATCGATAAGGACATTTCTCAGCCTAGCCCAGGGATGGAATGCCATCTGCACACAGTGAGAACCGAGTTTCCAATTAGTGCGTTTAAAACTTGCCACTGCCAATCGGCAGAGGCCAAGAGCTGTGTGCCTCGGTCACCATCATCTTCAGGTTGGATATTAGAAAAAAATTTCTTCTCTGGATGAGTGGTGATGCAGTGGAGCAGGCTGCCCAGGAGGTGATGCAGTCCCTGTCCCTGAAGGTTTTCAAGAAGCATGTTAGGTGTAGTGCTGAGAGACATGGTTAGTGAGCGTGGTGGTGATGGTCAGTGGTTAGACTAGATGGTCTCAGTGGTCTTTTCCAACCATAAAGATTCTATGATTCTATGATTCCATGCACCTGTGAGCCAGCAGTCCCTCAGCCTTTGCCCTGCTCACTCATTGTTCCCCATGTCCTGGTACTGACTGCATGTGTTGGTGCACGGGGAGCACGGGAAGGAGCGGTGGGTCCGTGTAAAATACCACAGCCTGTGCCAGGTGCCACGATCAGACTCCAGAAACTCAGCTTTCCCGTGGTGAAACCTTTATGACGTTAGCTGAAACACTGCTTTGCTGCTGGTTGGCTTTCAGACATTTCTCACAGCCATGACTGCGAAGAGAGGAACCCAGCTGAGTCCGAAGCAAGGGTTTCTGAGGGACATGAACTACCTCTGCGACCTCCGAGGAGCGACACGCACCTCAGCTTCAGCTCACCGTTAGCAAGCCCCGCTTTCAGTGCCTTCCTCTGTTATTTCACTGAAGGTACTTGAGACACCGGTGATTTTCTCACACCGCATGACAGAGAACGCCACCGTCCCGATCCGCGCCGGGCAGCCCAGCGCCGGTCCGTCACTGTAGCCAGTCCCCGTCCCCGCCTCCGCCGGGAGCGGCTCGGAGCAATTCCCACGGCAACCCAGGCTCGACCCCCTTCCCAGACCCCGCCTCCCCGTCCCGCCCCTCGGCTCCCGGTAGGAAGCAGTCCGTGTGTAAACTCGACGTGTCCTGGAAGGTGCGTGCCTTTCTGTCCCTCGGCCGCCGAGCACGATGCTGGACCCGTCCTCCAGCGAGGAGGAGTCCGATGAGCTTCTGGACGAAGAGCGGCGGGACGCGCTGCTGGCGGCGGGCGGGGGCTCCTCGCCGCGCTCGCTGCCGCCGCCGCCGCGGGACCCGCGGGGCAGAGAGGGCGGCGCGGGGCGGGCTGCGAGCCCCAGCCCCTCGGTGCTGAGCGAGGGCCGGGAGGAGCAGGAGCGGCTGCAACGGGAGGAGCGGGAGAAGCGGCTCCGGCTGCAGCTCTACGTCTTCATCGCCAGGTGCATCGCGCACCCCTTCAACGCCAAGCAGCCCACGGACATGGCCCGCCGGCAGCAGAAGGTGAGCCCGGCCCCGCCGCCCGCCCCGCTCCGCCGCTCCGCCCAGCGCCGCGCTCCGGCCCGCAACAGGTGGCAGCGGGAGGCGGTGCGGGGATCCCCAGCCCGGAGCGGGGCGACCGCGGCGGGAAACTCCGGGAAGTTTGCGGAGCGGTGCGGAAGTCCCCGTGGGGGTCGGGGCGCCCGGGGCCGCTGTGCGGCTGCAGCGGTGCCGCTGTCAGGGCACGGCGCGGGCACAGCCACCGCAGCGCCTCCCGCGCGCCCCAGCCCGAGCGCCCCTGAGCCGCTCCGCTGTCAGTGCGGCCGCGGTGTTGCGGCGGTGCTCCCGCTGAGCGGGAAACTGTTGCGTTTCCTGAATCCTTAAGTGCGGTCTGTATGCACAGAGCCGCTGAACATTCCGGTTTTGATGAGAGCGGCCTTCTAGCGAGGGTTCACCAAATGTGCTCTGTCTCTCCTCCGTCAGAGACTGAGAACGAGCGGCGATGGGGCAGGAATCTGTGCTGTAATGGTGCCACTTACTGAGCTACTGAATAGGTAGAATATTTAAAGTTTGGAAACAGAGCATTCAGTTTCCAGGGAACCACTTCAAGCACTCAGTTCTTGAAATGTTTGATCTAAAATCTTTGCATTTCTTTTACTTTCTGCTCAGTTCTGTAACGAAGAAAACAGCAATGAAGTGCCTATGTCACATTTCAGAAGGATATTGGCTGGTTGCCGTCAGAACTCAGTTCCCCTTAGCCTTAGTCCTTTTATGTCCCTAAAGCTTGCAAAAAGCAATAGGAAATGTTTGGGGATGGCAGTTATCATGCCTGCTGTAGGTGATTTGTGCTTAGAGAATCCTTTGACAAGTTAATGTGGTGGTAATAATAAGATTATTGCTGGAAGAACATTTTGATTTCATTAAGTTGCAGGTATTTAAACTGCAAAAGCTATTTAAAGACTTTTCATAAGCAGAACGCCAAGGAAAATCCCATAAAATTGGGATTCTGCCTTCCCCAGTGGGATTCCCCACCCAATCACAGTTTGAAGGGATATCTGCAGGTCACCTCCTGCCCCAACCTAGGTTGACACCAGCACCACAGCAGCTAATCTGTGTCTTTGTCCAGCAGAACCTTGAGAGCCTTCAGTGATGCAGCCCCACAGCCTGGCTGTGGCTCGCACTGGTGCCCATTGCTCTCTTGCTGATGAGTTCTTTCTCCATCAGCCCCCAAGTCACAACCTGTGGCCATCAGCAGCAGGAAATGCTGAACACTGACTTCTCACTGAGCTTGGTCACTAAATATAAGAACTGCTTTTTAAAATTAACTTCGGTATTAATTATTCTTGTTAATAAGATTCATAAAAGGAGATTACTGACGTGCAGCCAATACAGAAATATGGTGCTTGTGGCTGTAGCATAGAGCAGGTAACAGATTTATTGGCAATTGACTTGGTACCTAAATTAAATGGTACTCTTGCTAATTTCTGCTTTTAAAAGTATTCTGACTTTTGGTTTTATTGTATGTAGGGACTTAGCTGCAAGACTGAGATGCTTTGTATTTGCTGGTTACAAAGCAATGTTCTTAAATAAGACATAAAGAAATTCTCTCTAGGAGTTGTAGTTCTCTCTGGAAGTAATGAAGTATACACAAGCATCTTTCCCCTTATCTGACAATCTGATGAAATACCCAGTGAATCACTGAGAACGAGGTGGCAGAACCAGCCCCGGTGTTTGGGAGTTCAGGACGCCGCATCCCGGCTGTGGTTGGCTGTGAGTCCCGTGAAGCAGCCCTCCTTGTGCTGCTCTTCGTGCAGCGCTGGGGCTCTGTGTCAGCTTCTCAGACAAGCTGTGCCCTGTGGTAAGACACTACAGGACATGTGCTAGCTGGAGTCGTATTCCATAGGGTACAAGTGCCGTGCTTTTTCCCGAATGAATCTTCTCAGAACCAAGGTGCTGCACAGATTGGGACTCCCTTCATCTCCTGCCCTTCTGCTTCACTCCTGCTGCTTGTGACGTGATGGCCATTCTCTGTGATGGGCAGAAGTTCCCATCCTGTGTTACAAGCCATTCAGTGCCATGTATCCCATTTGCTAGCAGTGGCTAAGGGATCCAGGTAGATCCTGTTATGCTCCTGCTCCCAGCCCTGCCTGTCTCTGGTTGGGCACTCTTCTACTTTTGTACCAGCAGTCTCTCTGATAACCTAAGAATAGTATCCGCCCTGCTTGAGAGCAGAAGTAATTTGTTCTTTCTGCCAGTTCATTTGGCATATTGCTGAGCAAATATTGCAGAATGCCGTTTGCTTCTTTTTCAGTGTGGAACATATTATCCAGTAAGGGAATGAGATGGGATTCACATACCAAGTATCCTCACTTGCATTGTAATGTCAGCAAGGAAATGGTTTACAATATGTTTGGCTTCTGATACTCTTGCTTCTGTATCAGATTAAAATGTACCACACAGTATCTCAAAACCATCATCATACTTAATGGGCTGAGTTATACTAATCAACATAAAGAGTTCTAAATGCAGGCAGTGTTTCACTCCTCTTGTCCTTTCTCATCCTTCTTTCTTCAGTGTAAGTAGAATTAGCTCAGCTCTATTTTCATACATAAGATTAGTTTAAAAAACAACAACAACTTTAAGAGATCTATAACAATTTACCAGAGTCCATCAACTCTACCAGCTTGTTTTTAATGCCAAATCCAATGCAGCTGAGCCCAAATATAGCTGAAACACATTCTTTGATATCTGACTGTATTCCTTCTGTGATCTATAAGGTATGTGATAGGAATACTCTCTTTTAACCATTCAGAGTTAGTTGGTGACCTACTTTTACCTCCTGTCTTGTGTTGTCTGTGAATAGATTTGGTGTATCATGGAAAAAAAAGCTCAATGTGGTTTCTCAAGTTAGCATAGCAGACTTGGCAAAGATGGAGTTAATTCAGCAAGGTATTAATCATGCTCCTAATAACATCTCTTCAGTAGATATTTATGGGCATTTGGCCATGCATTGTCAAGGTTTTTAGAGAAATATTAGTGCATCGATGCATTACATATCATGTTTTCAGCAAGTAAGGCTTGCCTGTCTTTGCTTTAAATAGGCTTTGCCAGATCTTCGTAGTTTCTACTTCTTTAAAATGAGTGTTCTAGAATATACTTCAGAGTCTTTCTTTTCTACCACTCCAGTCTTCTTTCTGTTTAGTCCAGCAAAGAGAATCTGTAGTTAAGTAATGCCATTCCTTCTCCTTTTCCACCCCAGCTGAATGGATCTCAAAGCAGTCAGCAGCCTCCAGTTGTCTTCAGAAATTTAATGGGGTTTAAATGACACAGTGAAGTGTGTTGTCTCTGCAGCTATCTTCAATCAAGATAAAACTGTGTATGTGAACATAGCACAGAGCCATTGTAGGTTCCACAGAAATAAAGAGGAGGCATTACTTTTGGAGGGACATAGGTATGTACTCAGTTTTATTTAGGGGTTAAAGGCAAGTTCTGCAAGTTACATTTCCTGGAGAAGGAAGTGGTAATGAACTGCTACAATTAACTAACAATAACAAAAAAGTATTCATCCAGTGTGCTTCTTCCTCAAGGTCTTAAAATATACTCCAGTAATCAAGCAGTCACAGCATAGAAATCCAAGAGTGGGAGGGGAATAAAGCTCCTACTCTAAATGAGATTTCCTAATGCATGAAAGGCTTAGTACATCAAAGCTGATCATTCAAGTCTTGCTTTCATAGGTAATAAGTAGCAGAAGTGATTGAGCTGGCTGTTTAGAAATCATAACTCAATGAGGTTTACTTTCTGAATACATGTTGAGCTGTTTTCGCTCCATTTCTTCTCTCCACCTTCTCACCTGTGAGTATGTCATAGAACTGTAGAATCATTTGAGTTGGAAGGGACCCTGAAAGGATCTAGTCCAACTCCTCTGCAACGGACAGGGACATCTGCAGCTCCATCTGGTTGCTCAGGGCCCCATCCAGCCTCACTTTGAATGTCTCCAAGGATGGGGCATCCACTACATCTCTGGGCAACCTTTTACAGCATTCAAAACAGTCAACTTCCTGTTAATACTCTAAAGTAGAGTAGTGATATTTAACCAATTACTTTCATCTGGACTTTGAGTTTGTTCTTTCCTGTTTCATGGGCTTTACCTCTAAATAAGTGGTTACTGATATGTATTCACTAAATAATTAGCAGGAAAATCACAGAATCATTTAAGTTGGAAGGTAACTCTGCATGTGGCAGGGGGGTTGGAGATTCATGATCATTGAGGTCCCTTCCAACCCTGACCATTCTGTGATTCTGTGACCCATAAGGATCATCAAGTCCCACTCCACGCTCCACAAAAGAATCAGACTATAAGTCTGAGAGTGTTGCCCAAATTCTCAAACTGCAGCAGTTTGACATTGCATCCACTGCCCTGGGCAGCCCGTTCCAGTGCCAGACCACTCTCTGGTGAAGAACTTCTCCTAACCCCCAGCTGCCCTCCCCTGGCACAGCTCCATGCCGTTCCCTCGGGCCGGGTCGCTGTCACACAGAGCAGAGCTCAGCGCTGCCCTCTGCTCCCTGTGAGGAGCTGCAGCCGCCATCAGGGCTCCCCTCAGCTCCTCTGCTCTGCGCTGAGCAAACACAGGAACCTCAGCTGCTCTTATATGTCTTTCCTTCTAGGCCACTTGCTGTCTTTGTAGTCTTCGTTTGGACATTCTCTAATAGCTTTTTGTCTTTTTTTCTACTATGTGACCCAAAACTGTGCACAGTATTCAAGGTGAGGCTGCACCAGTACACTTCAGAGTGGGAAATTGTTGGTTACAGGAGCAGACTTAATTCTTGGACAATTCTGTTCTCAGTGCCTTTATTTCTCCTGTCCCAGGCCTCTCTTGTTCTTAGGTTTAAGCTGGCGATGTGTACCTACTTGCTGATAGACTGAGCATGTTTTGGGGAGGAAAAGTTGTCTCATGGCTTCTGAGCCTCCTTCATAAGATGCTTTTTTTTTTTTCCTTCTTTTTTTCTTCCCAGTGCTAAGGTAG